GGCAGTGGTAGTGAGGTTGGCCCAGGATTGGACATTGTTTCGTTCTGCTGTGCATGGGGTCGCTATGAGTCTGTTCCAACTCGATGGCACCTGACAACAACAACAAGTCAACAAGTTTTTCCTTAGAGTCATGCTAAGCAGCCAGATCTGACTGAGACACTTTTTCCCAAGAGCTCCCATGTGAACTGGTTTCTCCTATCCATCCAATTTTGCTTTTGAAATTCTCCCTAAGAACTGAAATTTTCACTTCTTTGTTACTTATAGTTTGTGTTTTAAGTTATTTGTCTTGTTAATAAGCACAGAAGTCCCACTTAGTCTTATATGGCTGATATGCGTTGGTGGAGACTTAAAAGGCAATTAACAATCACCATTGCTCCTAATGATAACTAGTTTATACATCAAAACAGAAATCAAAATTGAAAGAAAGAAAATCTGTAAACTTATAAAAACTGCTCAATTATATAGTAACAATATGAAATATATACAAAAGTTAAACTATGTCCACCAACTTTTCTCAAAATATATAAACACTAAAATAGTAAATCAGGAAGTATATACAGTAAGTGCCATTGAGTCAGTTCCAACTCATAGTGACCCTGTACAGGGTTTCCATGGAGTGGCTGGTGGGCTTGAATTACCAACCTTGTGATTTGCAGTCCAGTGCTTATCCAATAGCACCACACCAAGTTTACTGTGACAATTTTCAGCATTAAGTACATGTTGTTGTTAATTGCCATCAAGTCGGGTCAGACTCATAGGGACTCTGCATAGGGTTTCCAAGCAGCAGCTGGTGAGTTTGAACTACCAACCTTGTATTTCAAACCGACCTTGAGGTCAAGTGCTTATCCTATGGCACCACACAAGGACTCCATACATAGGAGATGAAAAATTATTTAGTGAATGTTTTGACATACATTATCCATTTCTTAGAAAATATTAACTTATCTTAAAAGTATTAAGACGTATTAAGGGTAGTTTCTGGTTTCTGATTAAGCATAAACCAAAAAACTGAACCTTTTGTTGAGTCGATTCTTTACTCACAGGCAACCCTGCAGAACTGCTCCCAGGGTTTCCAAGGTTGTAAATCATAACATATGGAAGCAGGCTGCCACATCTCCTGTGGAACAGTTGGTGGGTTTGAACTGTCAACCTTTAGGTTAGCAGCTGAGTGCTTAACCAATGCACCACTTTTTAATTAAGTGCTGTTTGGTAGGTTCTGATTCATAGTGACCAGAAACTCATAGTTTCCAAGGAGCAGCTGGTGGGTTTGAACTGCCAACCTTGTGGTTCACAGTGTAGTGCTGATTTTACACCACCACACCAGAAGTCCGTAATGCACCACTTGTTAGGTGTCTTGGAGTGAGTTTGTATGCTTTGTCTAAATACTTTAAATAATTTTTAGATCTTCTAAAAGTAAATTATTCTCAAGTATGATATTTTTTTCCCCTACCACCTTTGTTCTGAAACTAATCGCACTCTGGAAAACTTGTAAGCCAACCACTTTGTGCCTTTATAGACCCCCATTTTTGGTAGCCAATGTCTATGTTGACCATCCCTGTCAACCCTGTGTACTGAGGGAACAGGCTTGATCCTTGATGTGAATACTCCTTCTTGGTTGGAATTTTGAGTCCTGGTGTGGTGCTGTGGGTTAATATGTTGGGCTGCAAAGTTGGTTTGAACTGCAGGGTTGATTCAAGCTCACCAACCACTCCTTGGAAATGCTATATAGGGTCTCTATGAGGCGGCACAGGAGGCACTCACTCATCTCTGCTAAGAAATTTGGAAGACAACTAGCTGGCCGATTGGAAGTTGGAAGAGATTCTGTATTTGTGCCCATTCCAAAGAGAGGTGACCCAATGGAATGTGGAAATCAACGGACAATCTCTTTGATATCCCATGCGAGTAAAGTTTTACTAAAAGTAATACAGAAACGGCTGCAAGCATACATTGACAGAGAACTTCAGGAGGTTCAAGCCGGATTCAGAAGAGGCCATGCAATGAGGGATATCATTGCTGATGTGCGATGGATCTTGGCTGAAAGCAGAGAATACCAGAAACATGTTTACTTGTGATTTATTGACTATGCAAAGGCTTTTGATTGTGTGGATCATGACAAGCTATGGACAACATTGAGAAGTATGAGTATTATGGAACACTTAATCTGTACCTGGACCAAGAGGCAATTGTTTAAACAGAACATGGGAACACTGAATGGTTTAAAATTAATAAAGGTGTGCAACAAGGTTGTATTCTTTCACCATACTTATTCAACCTGTATGATGAGCAAATAATCCAAGAAGCTGGGTTCTATGAAGAAAAACGTGGCATCAGGATTGGAGGAAGATTCATTAACAACCTGTGATATGCAGATGATACAACCTTGCTTGCTGAAAGTGAAGAGGACTTAAACATTTACTGATAAAGATCAAAGAACACAGCCTTTGGAATGGATTACATCTAACGTAAAGAAAATAAAAATCATTACCACTGGACCAATAAACAACATTCTTATCAACGGAGGAAAGACTGAAGTTATCATGGACTTCATTCTTCTTGGATCAACTATCAACACTCATGGAAACAGCAGTCAAGAAATCAAATGACGTATTGCATTAGGCAAATCTGCTGCACAGGCCTTTTCAAAGTGTTGAAGAGCAAAGATGTCAGCTTGAGGACTAAGGTGCACCTGACCCAAGCCATGGTATATTCAATAACCTCATATGCATGCGAAAGCTGGACAGTGAATAAGGAAGACCGTAGAAGAATTGATGGCTTTGAGTTATGGTGTTGGAGGAGAATATTCAAAGTGCCATGGACTGCCAAAAGAAGCAATAGATCTGTTTTGGAAGAAGTGCAGCCAGAGTGCTCCTTGGAGGCCAACATGGCCAAACTTCATTTCTCATACTTTGGACATATTGTCAGGAGGGACCAGTCGCTGGAGTAGGATAGCATGTTTGGTAAGGTGGAGGGTCAGAGAAAAAGAGGAAGACCCCCAACGAGATGGATTGGCCAAGTGGCAGCATCGATGGACTCAAGCATGACAACAGTAGTGAGGTTGGCCCAGGATTGGGCAGTGTTTCATGTATAGGGTCACAATGAATAAGAACTGACTTAATCGCACTTAACAACAACACATCCATAAGCAAAGGTCAAGTTCATCAAATTGTAGCAATTTACATTTGCTTCCTGTATCCAACTTCTTTATCTTCCTCTAGTTGAGTTCTCATCATGAAGCTATCCAAGCTAGGTCAAATGGATACTATCAGGAAGTTTGTGCATTCTTGCATGCCTTCCCCAACTGCAGATCAGCTAGCCGCTTCAGTCTCAGGTCTACCCCCAGTAACTAGGTCAGTGTCTACGGGCTCAGGAGTTCTCAAGTCTCCCTAAATTTTGGACCAATTAGCCCTTCCTTTTCTCTGTCTCATCTCAAGTACAACGGGTGTCTATGGAACACGGTTGAACTCAGCCCATGTCTTCATTGCTGCCTTTCCCCCACTTCTACTCAAAAGTAGACCCAGGCAATCACCAGTGAGCTTACAAGCTTGCTCATATGTTAGCTTTGAGTTTCAGTCTTCGAAGGACGTTTATCCTGATGGGCTGAGTTTCCTTGATTTGATGGCTCCCAGGTGAACAGTCTGTCAAGTATGACATTTAGTATCCAATATTAAATATATGGAGTCCTAGTGTGGTGCTGTAGGATAAGCACTGGACTATTAACTGCAAAGTTGGTGGCTCAAACCCATCAGATACTCCTCAGAAACCCTATCAAGGGTCAATGCGAGTCAGAACTGACTTGATGGCACTTAACAAAAACAGGAATGGATATACCAACATGTTTGCCAATAGACAAAGTTTGTATTGAGAATCTTATAAAAATGAAAAGCACTGTGTCTCTGTCAAATGGGAAAATTCATCAGTGAATGAGAAAAGACACACTGTTCACTGAAAAAACAATGGTAAAGATACACAGATAAAAGAGACAAAAAAAAAATTAAACACGATATTATAATTCCTAGGAGACCTGGTGTGGAGCTGTAGGATAAACACTGGACTGTGAACTGTAAGGTTGGGGGTTCAAACACACCAGCCACTCCTTAGGCATCTGAGCTGACTCAGTGGCATTTAACAACAGCAGAATCATATGACAAACTGCAAAGCTGTTTTGTGATCCTGCTGATCTCATTGGCAATGGGACAGGTGGAAGAAAGGTCATTTATGTTTTCTTGATTAAAAAAAAAGAATGTACACGTATACTACATGTTCACAGCAAGTCTAGTTGTGGCCTAGATACAGCTAATTCTATTAATATTAAGGTCATATTATAGTTTGATTAAGGGTCACTATTTCCTAGACAAATGAGAATTTCTTTATTCCACTGGGATCCTAGGTAAACTTGATGCTTTATTCATCTAGTGGCAGAAGACTATTTTAAAAATGTCTTTGTCAGAAGACAGAGATACACTCTGTCTCTAAAAAGAAACTGTACAAGTTTTTGTTAGCTACATAAATAATTCCAGGGCTTTAGGAAACAAAGGCTACTTTCTGTGAAGAGTTGGCACACACTGATTTCTTTCACCAATTAATTTTCTAGGACTAAACATCAATTTACTTTAACAATTTCCTTTATATACAAGAGGAAAATCTATCAACTTGTCAAAACATTGTATTCTCAAATAGTTTTGGTAAGACCAAAATACTCATTAAGGTAAAAAAAATAAAGGTGTGCATATGATATTCTTAAGCAAGGATTTCACTTTATAAAGTTTACTTTTAAATGAAAATGCAATGTTTTCTTATCTCATGTCTAACAGAAATATTTACCTATATATGCTGTTGTCAGCAATATCCATTAACTTGAAATTTATTTATCAAGCTCTACTTTAATTCACTCATTTACAAAATGCCAGTTCAGAGAAAAGTGTCTTCATTTCCAGGACTTTTTCCAAAGTTGCGTATTTTAAAATGAAAAAGTAAGAACGTATGATCTCGTCTTAGAAAATTCATTGCTTTTGAATTGGTGCATCACAATATGGCACATTTTCTATAAGAAGGTCTTTCCTAGGAACCAATTCTGAAAGAAAAACAGAGAATATTTAACAGTATTAAAACTATAAGCAATAATAATCACTTTTCCCTCAAATTTATAATAACAAATGATATGGATTACACAGTGTCCTTCAAAAAGATATGTTTAAGTCCTTAGCCCTGGCCGCATGAATGTGACCTTGTGTGGAAATACAGGGTATTCTTTGTAAATCTTACCTGTTTTCACATATAGAAAGTAGGGTGGTTCCTAATCCTAATTCCTTCTGAGTGGTGTTTTATAAAAAGGGAGCACAGATACAGAAACAGGGTTAGATACAGAAGGGGAAAGACAGCCTGTGAAGATTCATCTAAAAACCAAGGAACCAGGAAACACTCAGGGCTACAAAAGCTGAAAGACACAAGGAAGGAACTTCCCCTACAATTAGGGAGGAGTAACAGACAGAAAGAAAGAAAATAGCCAGCTGATACCTAGAATTCATATTTCTAGCCTCCAAAACTGTGAGAAAATAAATTTCAGTTCTTTAAAGTCATATCGTTTGTTGTATATTTAAGTGGAAGTCTTAGGAAGCGAAGACAATAAAACATCTAGTTTTAATACAAATCTTCCAGGGATATTACATTCCATTTAACAACCAGGATTGTTGTTGTTGTTGTTGTTAAGTGCCGTCGAGTTGACTCTGACCCATAGCGACCCTGTAAAGGGTTTCCGAGGAGCAGCTGGTGAGCTTGAACTGCTGACTGTGCAGTTCAAATGGCTTTGCAGTCTGGCGCATTAACCCACAGTGCCAACAACTAGGATGGACCCCTTTATTCTTAAGGAAAACAGTTTTTAGGGTTCATATTTCAGATTATATAGTCACCCATACAGCCAATTTAATCGTTTCATTTATGTACTGAATATAATTAAGTAAGCAGAATTCAGGTAAAACATATTACTGACCATCTGACTATAGATAACTGATTTTTAAAAAAAACCATTAATTAGAAAACAGTAAAACCTAAATCTTTCTGAATAGGAATAGCAACGACTCCTTATTTTAACTGAGATAAAACTCCCTAGTCAGCCAATTTGAGAGCTCCTAATTCTATTTTGGAGTCCTAGTGTGGCACTGTGGGTTAATGTGCCAGACTGCAAAGCCATTTGAACTACAAGGTCGGCGGTTCAAACTTACCAGTTGCTCCTCAGAAACCCGATAAAGGGTCGCTATGGGTTGGAATTGACTCAATGGCACTTAACAACAACAATTCTATTTTTGATTTCCTGGCGTGGCACTGTAGGATAAGAACTGGACTATGAACCACAAGGTCGACAGTTCAAACCCACCAGCTGCTCCTTGGAAACCCCATTCAGGGTCACTATGAGTTGGAACTGACTCATCATCACTTAACAACAATTCTATTTTCGGAGTCCTTGTGTGGCAATGTAGGATAAGCACTAGACTGCTAACCTGCAGGTTAGCGGTTCAAACCCTGTATAGGGTTCCTCGGAAACCTATATAATGTTGTTATATGTCAGAACTGGTTCAACAGCACTTAGCAACTATATTTTCTGGAAGACCTAAAGACGCTCTTTTGTCCAATGTTCCTCAAGGCTCCTGGTTCTATTCTGGGGAATCCTATTTGTCCACATATGGGAATACTGGGGAAGATGCCCTTATTTGGGGTTTGGGGTACTTGTAGCTTTCATAGTCCACTTCCTGTTGTTATGAAATCAGGGGTTCAGTGATGGCCTTATGGGTTGAAGAGTCAGGTCTGACTCCCTCAAAATTATTCAAGTCATATTCAAGCAGAAATAACCAAAGATGCATACACTGACAGTTTTCAGGCATAAAGATTCTCATCCTTTGATAATGGCCTCAGTGTTCTATCCTTCCTTCTAGTGTGTAGCTTAGTGCCATTTCCTTTGTTGTTGCTGCTGTAAGGTGCCAGGTTGGTACTGACTCATAGAATCCCCTTATGTACAACATAATGAAATACAGCCTGGGCATGTACCATCCTCACAATTGCTGCTATGCTTGAGCCCATTGCTCCTGCCACTGTGCCAAGCCATGATATTGCGGCTCTCCCTCTTTTTCGATGACCTTCCACTTTATCAAGCATGATGTCTTTCTCCAGGGATTGTTCCCTCCTGATAATATGTCCAAAGTATGAGAGATGCAGTTTGGTCATCTTGGCTTCTAAGAACCATTCTGTTTGTACTTCTTCTAATACAAATTTGTTTGTTCTTCTGGCAGCCCATACATGGTACCTTTAAAATTCCTCTCTAACACCATAACTCAAATGCATCAATTCTTCTACGGTCTTCCTTATTTACTGTCTAACTTTCAAATGCATATTTACTGTCTTTCATATGCATGTGAAGCTACTGAAAACACAATGGCTTGGGCCTGGCACACCTTAATTTTCAAACTGACATCTTTGCTCTTCAACACTTTACAGAGGTATTGGGTAGCAAATTTGCCTAATTCAAAACGTCATTTGATTTCTTGACTATTGTTTGCATGAGTGCTGATAATGGATAATAGCAAAAAGAAGTCTTTGACAACTTGAATCTTTTCTCCATTTATTTTGGTGTTATATGTTGGTCCAGTGGTGCGGGTTTTGGTTTCTTTACGGTGAGGCATAATCAGTACTGAAGACTGTGTTCTTAGATTTTTATCAGTAAGCATTTTAAATCCTCTTTGCTTTCAGCAAGCAAGGTTGTGTTACCTGCATATCACAGGTTGTTCACTATTCTTCCTCCTGATGCCAACATTCTTCTTCATATAATCCAGCTTCTCAAATTATTTGCTCAGCATACAGAATAAATATGGTGAAAGAATACAACCCTAGTACATACCATTCCCTATTTTAAACAATTCAGTGTCCCCTTGTTCCATTAGAACAATTGCCTCTTAGTCTATTTACAGGTTCCTTATAAGCACAACTAAGTGTTCCAGAATACTCCTTCTCTGCAATGTTGTCCATAGCTTGGCATGATCCACACAACTGAAAGCCTTCCCGTAGTCAATAAAGCACAGGTAAACATATTTCTGGTATTCTCTGCTTTCATCCAAAATCCCTCTAATGTCAGCAATGTTAATCCCTTGTTCCACTGCTTCATCTAAATCCAGCTGAACCTCCGGCAGTTCCCTGTCAATGTATTCTTACAGCTGTTTTTGAATTATTTTGAGGCAAATTTTACTTGCAGTAATACTGATTATATTGTCTGATGATTTCTGCCTTCTATTGGGTCAACTCTCTTTGGAATGGACACAAATATGGATCTCTTAGCATCAGTTGGCTAGGTGGCTGCCTTCCAATTTTTTTGCATCAGTTTATTGAAAGATTTCAATTTGTTTTCCATCAATCCACTGAGCCTTGTTCATTGTCAATGCCTTCTTTGCATCTTGGATTTTTTTCCTTCAGGACCATTGGCTCTTGATCATATACTACCTCTTGAAATGGCTGACCACTGACCATTTCTTTTTGGTACAGTGTCTGTATATTCTTTCTAGTTTCCTTTGATGCTTTCTGCATCATTCAGTATTTTGTCCTAAGAATTGTTCAATACTTCAAGTTGCAACTTGAATTTTTTCCCACAGTTCTTTCAGCTTGAGGTGCCCTAAGCATGTTCTCCCCTTCTGGTTTTCTAACACCAGATCTTTGATTCTTGAGATGAGCTCTAAATTCACATGCAATATGTTCAAGGTCATATGTTGGCTTTCGTGGACTTGTTTTAATTTTCTTAAGCATCAGCCT